GAGATCCTGGAAAGCGGTGAAATGATGATGAGGTAAATAAGCCTGAGGTGACACTGAGTCAAGGTGAGCTCCAATGAGCTCTGTCCTGGATGAGTTCTAGGGTTTATTTTTGTTCATTGATGAGAAGGCCTGAATAGATGTCTGGTCCTTAGCACCATAGCACCAGTCTCATGAAACTGGCCTTTTATGAGGTAGTCGTCGAGGTATGGAAAGATCACAGCATCCTGCAGTCGGAAATACGCAGTCACTACCACTAGGACCTTTGAAAAAACTTGGGGGCGGAAGACAGACCAAAGGGCAGGACCTTTTACCGGTAATGGTCTGTGCCTATTGTAAAACGAAGATAGCGCCTGTGTGACGGGTGTATAGTGATGTGAAAGTACACATCCTGTAGGTTGAGGGCTGTGAACCCGTGCCCTTCATCCATTGCCAGAATAATTGTTGCTTTTTAAAGCCCAGTGAGTCCAGCAGTGTCATCAGCGGTTCCTTTCGACACATTTTATTTCTTCTTTAACTGGGAAGTGTGGAGGGGAGGGGGGGAAAAAAAGCAAGAAATGCAGGAAGGGAGAACCAGGCAATAGAGGGGACTCTCTCAGCCTCCTGAGCAACCAGAGTCATGTTGCGCTCCTCTGACACAAAAAAAATTTAAGTAACTCTAGCTATGAAAGAACAAGAACTATACATACGAGGAAAACACTACTAAACTACTCTGTGACGGTAAATACGCCGTGAGGTGGGTCCAAGCTCTGTCCATGTCTGAGGGCAGTTAGTGAGGAACTGAAGGGGGGGTTGGGCCATATGCATGAGGCATGGCCCTAAGACATGAACTCCATGAGACGCCTTTTGCACATGCTCAGCTCAACTGAAAACTGCTTTGCAAGACTCCGATCCGTGGCTCCGGCATGACCCATCACCAGCAGTGGAGCACCCACGGGGACATCACCCAAAGAAGAAGAAAACAACGATCTCACTTTCACCTGCCCCCTCTGAAAAAGAAAGAGAATCCTCCCTAATTTAGCTACCTCTCCAGAAAAGCCTGCATAAATCGACTCCCTTCACTGCAAGGCAGTCCTTAGGCACTGTTCAAAGCCTATCTCCACATCAACATAGCTTATAAATGGATTTCTTTTGCCAGCTTTAAGGAAAGATGCTGAGAAAACTACATAGTTAATGGGGGCCCTCTCCTCCGGAAGCTCTTCCTGTTTGTTGTATCATTGAAAAGGACACGTCGTCTCTGGCTGTCCCTCGTGTAAATTCCCTCGTGTGCTGCTTTGATAGGGAGAAGGATTACCAATTAGGGTCCTGTACATTCATTCTCTGGCTTCTAGAATTAGTATCCTCCTACAAAAGCCATATTCTCTTCATTCTTTCAGCTCTTTGATGGCCACTTCGATACCAAAATAGGACACAAAGTTGAGAGTGAGAGTTACAGGAGGATTGCAACAAGCCTCGGGTATTCAACTAACAACATTCTTTTCCTGACGGATGTCACCCGAGGTAGGCGGTCTGGCTTTCCTGCTCTTCCCCACACTGCAGCAAAGGATGAAAAGTAACAGGCTTAATCTGCAGCAAGGGAGGTTTAGGTGGGATATTTGGAAAAACTTTAAGGATTGGTAAGCTGTGGACCAGCCTTCTAAGGGAAGTTGTGGGATCCCCAAACCTCTCTGAGGTGGTCTAGATTTACTTGGCCTTGCCTCAGCACAGGGGGCTGGATTTGATGACTTATGCCCTTGTCAGATCTACACTTCAGTACTATTGCACTGCTATATGGAGACACTGTTTGAGTCTCAAACTCCAGTCACCTCGAGCATTCTAAGATGCTTCCCAATTGGGGTAGCAGAGGGGTTGTATTGGCCTTCGTGTTGCCTAAACTTCGATCTTTTCCACAGAGGCAAGTGCTGCAGAAGAAGCTGATATGCACGTGGCTGTGGTAGTGAGGCCAGGCAATGCAGGGCTAACAGATGATGAGAAGTCGTATTACAGTCTCATCACGTCTTTCAGTGAACTGTTTCTGCCGTCCTTCACTTAGGAGAACTGGTGCACATGCACAGAAAACCAAACTACACCTACTGGAATTGTCTTTGTGTAATCTTCGCTAATTGTATTGGTAATAAGCATTTTAAAGAATATATACTGGATCCATGACCTTAAGCAGACATTGATCTAAGTATGGTGGAGGGGATTTTTAATGCAATGAAACTGAGGTCTATCAAAGTCAGTTAGTTCTGAGTGGTGTGAGGAGCAGCATTAATGAAGCCTGTCTTTGTTTAGTTTTCTTATCAGGGAATTTATTACTCGAGGATGACTGTTCTGCTATTACCACTGGGTAATGTAAAATGTGACAACATTTGTCACTTTTAAGAACAAAGTATTTAGTGAACTAAGTATTTCTCACACTCCCCCTACCTCACACTTCTGACTTTACAAGGAAATATGAACTTCTCCCTTCTTCTAAGGCCTATACCTCTCATGTTAGAAGTTAAATTAAGGCACATTTATTTCATCAGAGGTTCGGGTACGTAAGTTTGGGATAGCCAAAGGTAAATGTGAATGATTAAGCTTGGATGCTACAGCTTAAATCTGCCAGAGTCCTCAGCAGGCCAAGTTAAATATAAACCCACTTGTGATATTGGGCTATTCACTCCAGGACCTGCTGCATCCTAAAGTCAGATTTCCATTTAGGTCTGAGACATTGCATTCTTAGCAATAATCCCTGATTTTTTTTCTTAAGCAGCCAAGAAAAGGTTTCACTGACTCATGATCAGCTATGAAAAGACATATAAAGATAGTTC